CCTGAAAGAGTAGAAGCCTATCTTAGGCAGGCACCTTCCTCCAAGTTGTAAAATTACTTTCTGTCATAAAGATATGGGAAGTTTATTTTTCTTTGGATAAAGCCAGTTGGCAAGCACAGATGGCCAGGGATTCCCACCACCCCACCAAATCTTTCTGCCCTTTGTTCCAGTGGAGTTGAGCTCAAAGTTTTGGTCTCACTCTGCTATTAGAGTCACTTTGAACTAAGCCTTCCTGCTTGTTTAAATTTGTTGGGTGCAATTTTTGCTTTGACACAACTATAGGTTGTATTCCAAAGGAAGGTTGTAGGAGATGGCTGCCAAAGCAGAATATATAACAGGAAAGAAACAAATAGAATCTCCAAGCTGACGTTGAAAGAAACATCAACTGAGAGCTGTCAGAGTTTGAGATTATCAGCATACATTGGGAGAGAAAGATGGACAGTTTGAGATAGGCAAAGCTACACAGATGGAACTAGGAAACTACTAGATGGGTTCTACCATCCTAAAAGGAAATATATACTTATCTCAGAAATTTGGTGCTGAGTTAGTGCTAGGGTAAATAGAAAACTCAGCCAAAAAAAATCTAGGTAATTATTAACTCCAGTAAAATTTTACAAGGCAGGAAAAAGTTGTTTCTGCTCTGAACAATATTCACATAGTGAACATCTTACAAATCCTAAATAAAAGTTGATGTAATTGAAATTGTGATAGAATTAGGTCAGGAGGAAAAGGAGTGGGGAACGTACTTGTGAGTGGTGGGCACAAGAGATTTAAATCCTTAACTGCCATCTTAGGAGAAAAGAGTTAACATCTAAACTTTAAATAAATAAAAACCAGAAGCAGTGATTCAAACCAGGTGAAGTATTTGATTGTCAAGAAACTTGGGACAGGAATAGTAAGTCTAGAAGTTAATTGCTTTTCCTTATAAGCCTGAATGAATTACATGACTTTTTAAATGTCAAATATGTAAATCTGAAATATAATAAAAGTAGAGTCTACAAGAAGTAAAAAAAAAAAAACAAACAAAAAAACATGCTGGCTGAAAATAAAAATGAAGAAAAAGAAAAACATTAAAAAGTGGAGGACAAAAAGAGGGAAAGGAAGAAAAAATATTTTAAAGGGGGAATATAGAGGTAAAGAGCAACAAAAGGGAATCAAAAAAAAGCTGCCGTTTTCCTACTGAATCATTTCACAGGCTGTTGTTTCTGAATGACCATGTGAGCGATCACTGGCCTTGACCGGCGGTGTATTTGCAAATAGCAATCAGAACTGCAACGGACTCCACTCGTTCGCTGAATCGCAACGTAAATCTAAACTACTCAGTGTTTTGTAATTCACAACCTCTTTCTACCGCCACCAGCAACTACTACTGTTCTGATCAAATATATTAAGAAATCATTATGAGGTCTTCAAAATTGCACTGCAGTGTTCTACAAATCAACTTTTTTTAGTTTAGCCCCAAATGAGCTATTTTAAGAATTCACCCTCCTCCACCCATGAACCACTCCCACCACTCTTTCTCAGCAACTAAGGTTAGCTCGTACCTTGCAGAGAAATTAGACCCATTAGATCCCATCCCTCTTTCTCCTGTAAATCCTACACCTTCAACTATGTCCCAGTTTTCACCTGTGTATTCTCTCTCTTCACAGGATATGTTCAAAAACTGGAATCTGTGCCTCACTTTCATGCCCCTGGTGATCTCTGTAAAGTTCCTGGATGAAGTAGTGAGTACCAAGTCCAGTCCAGCTCTATGGACTGTGTAAAGCCTGCTAGTGGCCAGGAATATGTGATTAAACACCTCAAGTCCAGCTGTTAGAAAAGCTATTATGAAGATTTATACAGGTATTTCTATTATTTAAGCATCTTTCCATGTTGCAAATTTTTTCCAGCCCTCACAGTACAATATCATCCTTCACCTCCACTATTAAGTGATGCTGCTAAAGAGAAAAATGGGACAGCTTTTGATTTTGCACATGAAGATACAATCTTCTTGAAGGTGCCTGCCATCGTTTAAATACACAGTCAATGAGCAGATCCTGGCTGTGTCTTAGGTCAAGAATCATTGAGGTATCAAGGATGCCTCAGTGGCTCATAATTATTCTTTACAACAAATCTGTTTTCTGAATCTGATTCCCTTAATTCTCATGGATCTCACTCAGCTTTGCTTTTAATCTGCCCATCTTTACTGGTTCTTTCCTCTTCACATACATATATGCTCAAGGGTCTCTGCAAATAAAACAGTATTTCCATACCTCCCTCTGGAAATATTCTTCTTTCCAGTAAGTCCTGTGTGTTTCACTTCATTAATATCTCTTTAATCTCTGCTCTCATCTAAGTCCTCATCACTATTACCCTTTTCCACTGATCATTTAGTTTCCACTAATCATCAGCACTAATCTGATTGTTTCCCTGATCAATTTTTCCTTCCAATTCTCTTCCACAAATGTCTCTCCTTTGAGCATTAGACCCACATATTCAGCAGCTCATTAGATGTATTCACTTGCATATCCCACAGACACCTCAACTCAATATGTCCAAACCTGAAATAGGTTCTCTCTCATACACTGGCTCATTCTCCTCTTTGTCCTAAATCAGCGAATATCACTGCACGTAGTGGTCTAAGCAGATACCTGATCACCCTTGACTGCTTTCTCTTCCTTATTCTTTACACTTTAGCAGTCATCAAATTATAAAATTCTTGTTCATAAATGTCCCTCAAATCTATCCACATCTTTCCCTTCTCACTAGCACCTTCCTTATTTAATAATTACTTTCCATCTGGATTTCTAAAATAACCTCATGGCTGGTATTTCTGCCATCAGGTTTTCCCCTCTTCTGCCCATTCTCCTGTGGAGAATATAATGCACTTGTAGTGATTTTTATAAACTTCAAGTATGATTCTGTGCTTTCCCTGTTTAAGAATATCTGATGACTCCCTACTGCCCTGAAGATAAATTTCTAACCTCCTTAACTTGACTTACAAGCAAGAAGCGCCTTTATTAAATAGTTCCTGTATTCTTCCCTAGCTTAGTCTCCTAACCTTCAGGTTTTCTTCTTACAAAAAAATATTTTTGTTATTCAAGAGCAAAATCATCTCCCTCCCTTCTGGATATTTATACATCTTGCTTCATTTTGTTTGAAATATTCCTTCCCCAAACCAAACATTCTCTTCAACTTTCCTCAGGTTTGAGTTAGATGCTCTATTAGAGTCCCAGGGCTAACCTAACAAAAGACCACAAATGGGTGGTTTAAAACAACAGGAATATATTCTTTAATAATTCTAGAGCCTAGAGTCCAAAATCAAGGTGTCGGCAGGACCAAGGTCCTTCTGAAGGCTCTAGGGAGAAAATGTCGCCCCATGCCTCTCTTCTAACTTCTCGTTGTTGCCTACAGTCTTAGGCTGTCTAGTCTTGTAGCTGAGTCACTCCGGTCCTTGTCTCTGTCACCACATGGCGTTCTTCCCCCAGTTTGTGTCTGTGTTTCCATACAACCATCATATAGGGACACCAGTCATTGAATTTAGGGCCCATTCTAACCCAGTATAATCTCATCTTAACTAATTACACATGTAAAGACACTATTTCCAAATAAGGTCACATCTCGAGGTTACAGTTGAGCATGAATTTTGGGGGAACCCTCTTCAACCATTACAGAAACGCTGTTAACATCTTCTGCCTACCAGGCAGCAACCTGAGCAGCCTTAGCATACCACACAAGACATTATATTGAAGGACATCTGGATGGCACACTCAGTTAAGCATCCAACTCTTGATTTTGGCTCAGGTCATGATCTCAGGGTCTTAGGATAGAGCCCCACATCGGGCTCTGCTGTGAGCATGGAGCCTGCTTGAGATTCTCTCTGTCTCTCTCTCCCTCTGCTCTTCAGCAACCACCCTCAAAAAAAAAAAAAAAAAAAGATTATGTTGAGAACTACTGATTTGTCTTTTCCCCAATTACACAGGGACAGCAAACATTTTATCTTTAGAACCTAGTACAAGGTGTGACAGAGAGGGGAAATAGATATTTGGAAATACATATTGAGAAATATGTATTTCTCAATATGGAAATACATATGTATTGGCTCGATACATATTTGGGAACAAAGAGAAAAAAAATGAATGAAAGATTAAAAGAAGAGCTCTTTTTAAAATTTTCACAGTCCTCTTATAGTTTTCAGGATAACTTTCTAAACTAAACCAGAATCTAACAGAAAGGCTTATGTTAAAATTTAAAATATTCATTCCTTTTTCTATCTACCTCTTTCAGAGCAAGCACAGGAACAAAAAGAAATAAAATTTTAAATAAACTACCAATCTTCTAAGGGTGACATGCTGCACTTTGACTTTTGTTTGTTTGTTTGTTTGTTTTTGGTATTTTCCCTACATCATTCTTCTTGCTAAATCCTACTTAACTTTTAGAAGTTGAATCATTTAGTTTTATATTGGAAGGAACATCCTGTTCTCCCCCTACCCCATTCTTCTTTGGGGGCAGACGCATTTTGGTATACTTCTATAACAGACTCTGGTACCATCCTGTCCATGTCCTTACCTCTCTCATGGGCCCTATACCATCTAGCTATGTGTTATTGCAAGCACTCGCAAGTGCTGGCCTGGCTGAAATGCCACAGAGCATTTGAAGTCCTTGAGAAACCCTAACCAAGGACAAGTATTGACACTGCAGTGAGCAACCTTAGGCATACCATACAATCTCTTGGTGATGCAAACAGTGCCCTGCCCTTTGGTACCACCTGTGTTGTCTTTTCTCCATTTTCTGTGTCACTTGCTCCCTGACCTACGTAGGTGTTTCTTAAGATCACTAACCAAATAAGCAACTTGTACTCCAGTCCCCTCTCAGGAATTGTCTGTGGTTAGACTCAGTATGAGAGATTTCCTAACACTCTTCTAATACCACTTCTCATACGCTGTAATCTGTTTACTTGTCTTCTGCGGCTACTACTATGTAATGCCCCAGTGGTATAAATAGTACTTTATTACTCCCTCTCTAGCAGAGTGCTTGTGGTATGGAAGAAAGGAGTCAATAAACATCTTTGGTTCTTTTTTCTTTTAATGTATGAATAATTTCATGATCTCATTATTATGTGACAAAATTGGGAATGTAGAGACATTAAGGTAAGGCATTTGTTATTAATAATATATAATTTGTAACTTTATGTTAAAATATAATCATTTTTATAGGCAAAACACATTAAGCATAACTTTTAAAATGTAAATTTTAAATACATTCTACATTTCTCTTCAGTTCTGCAAACACTTGTCACTTGTACTGAATTTTTTCCTGATTCATTTTTAAGCTTACTTTAAACTGTTGAGCATGCTTGTTGAATGTGATTCCACTTCTATGGCTAAGTAATTCATTACTTGATAAACTACTCATAATTGACATAACAATCCTATCACAGATTCTAGCTTGAAATAATGTCACAGGCACTCTTCAGAGTTACCAGTATTACAAAAGTACAATCATGCGCACAGATGTACCCACTTAATACTGATGGCTTTCATACCATTGTTTTGACAAGAAAACATATAGCTGTGTTTAGCTTACTTGTTTTCTGAACGTTCAAAATGTAGTCTGAACAGATTTTTTATTTAAACCATAAACCACACCTTGTTTTTTTATTTCTTTGATATTTACTCCTTCCATTGCTTTCTACTTTTATTACCGAATTGCTTTCCCCTACTAGAGTAGCTAGAACTGCATATCAAAAGTATGCATTGTTCTGAGATCAGATTTACCTGGTTTTATGCACAATGTGACACGCAGCCTTGTGTTCTGTCCCCCCCACATTGTCTTCTGTGTTCTTACTATGTCTACTGCTGCGAGGAAGAGGGGGGCTCACAGCCTGATTCAATCAGGTTTAGCAACATGAAATAACATATTCAAGTTTGTATTGTGGACATTATTTACGTAAATGTCCCACCTGAAATATTCTGATGTACCTGCTGCTAAAATTAGATCATGCTTTGAAGAGAAACAATGTTTTCTAGTGGGGCAAAAAAAAAAAAAAAAAAAAACCCTAGAAAATGAAAAACATTGCTTTAATCTCCAGTTTATTAAAAGATAGAAAGATTCCTTTTTTTTAAAATTTCCTCTAAATTTGCATTTTGAAAGACATTTTAAAAATTTTTCATACTACACTATCTCTTGTGGAAGTGAGCCAAAAATACAAAAGATTTAAATTCTGGCAAATGTTTAAATCTGTGACCATTGTTAGCTTACTGCTTCTCCAATTACAGGAAAACATAGATAAAAGGAAGTATGTATATTTATTCTTATGTTATATATATTAGAAATAATCAATAAATACCAATAACTACCAGACAATATGATGCATTTTTGTATTGCAAAAATAATGAAGAGTTTTTATGTTTAGCTAAATTTATTTATAGCTACAATTAATGGATAATTTTCTAGGATGATTTGATTTTGCCAATAAGAAGGTGAGATTTGTAATGATATTATATGAACTTCTTTGTAGCTGGTCATCTCTGCCTGTTGTCTATAGAATTTGGGGAGGTCAGCCTTTGTTTTAACTATCAAAAAAACCCACAATGATTTTAAGTCCATGGTTTGTTTGTCTGTACAATTCTCTCAGAAAGTTAATTGTTTTCTTGTCTTTTTGACTGCTGTGAGTCTCATGTGAAAATAGACACACCAATTCTTCTGAAACCGTGTCTCTTTCCCCGGATTTAATTTGGACAACTTAAGCCTATTGTGCTTCCATAGGAGAGGAATGCTGTTTTTCTCTTTTCTCTAAGCTGTATTTTTCCAACTGAAAGAATTTGCTGGGAAAATTATATGCATTAGGAGTTTTTCTTAAATGAGTGTGATAACTGCACCCCAATATTGATATTAAGCCTGAGTTATAATTGGCCTTTTTTATTCAATTGCTTTGTCAGTTGTATATATATAATGAGTAAAGATGAGTATCAGTTAAACTTGCAACACAGAAAGTCATTTGACTCTGTATTCTCTCTGTTTTCTTTAAAGATTTTATTTATTTATTTGAGAGAGAGAGAATGAGAGACAGAGAGCACGAGAGGGAAGAGGGTCAGAGGGAGAAGCAGACTCCCTGCTGAGCAAGGAGCCCGATGCGGGACTCGATCCCGGGACTCCAGGATCATGACCTGAGCTGAAGGCAGTCGCTTAACCAACTGAGACACCCAGGCACTCTTCTCTCTGTTTTCTTTAAATTCTCCTTTCAAAATAGCTAGGTCTTTTCTGAGCTCATCTCTCTTGCATTATTCTGGCAAGTGCAACTTACAAGACAACATGCTACTACCATTGGCTTTTTACCTCTTCAGGATAAAGTTTAGTAGGTACATTACCTCCCCCCTAAGTTATCACATATGATACTTTTTCTAAATATTGAATTATTACATGACATGCATCAGCATATTTCTAGCCTCTAAAAATTCCCTTGCTACCAAATAACCGGCTTCAAAGCTAGTGCCAGATATTCCAAGTTGTCTGTTAAGGAAGCACCTCTGATCCAGTACTATCTTTTTTTTTTATGTCATTATAGCCAATTATTCTGTGAAAGAAAAAAAACAAACAAACTTGAAAACCTCCGAGTTTTAAAACAATAATGTCTATATCTCATACATGAGACCTGTTACATCAGATGTCACTGCAGAGGCTCTTCTGTGGGCTGATGGAGATTCCGTTTAAATACATTGGTAGAGTCAGGAGAAAAGTAAGAAAGCATGGCAAACAAAGTGTTAACACTTACAGCACTTAAAACTTAAACCCAGAATATACAACATGCTCTGCTCACATTTTATTGATCAAAGTAGGTAATGTGGTGTACTGGGTTAAATAGTGTCCCCCTCTGCCCAGCCCAAATTATGCCCATCTGGAACAACAGAATGTGACCTTATTTGAAAATAGGCTTTTTGCAGGTATAATTAGTTAAGATGAAGTAATACTGGATTAAGGTAGGCCCTAAATCCCATGACTGATGCCCTTATAAAGGCCATGTAAAGATACACAGACATACGGGGAAGCATGCTATATGAAGATGGAAGCACGGATGGAGTGATGCATCTGAAAGGTGAGGAACACCATGGACCACGGGCAACTACCAGAAGCTAAGAGAAAAGCATAGAACAGTTTCTCGTTCAGATCCTCCAGAAAGAACCAAACTTGCAATTTCTTGGTTTTGGACTTCTGAATTTCTGGACTGTGAGATAATAAATTTCTGTTGTTTTAAGTCACCCAGTATGTGGTAATTTGTTTTGGCAGCCCTAGGAAACTAATGCACACAAGATGCTTAAATTCAAAAGTGCAGATGCGTGTCCCCCCATAGGTGGGTCACTGGATACAACACAAGTTCTAAACAAAGATTGTTCGCATATGAAGAAGGCTACAATGGCAGGATTTTTAAAACAAGCTTTCCCATTTCTGACATAAATTTTGAGGTCATGGTCATGATTCTTTTTGGTCCCTTATTTCTGAGAAAACTTAATCAGGCCAGGTTGATCCAAAGCTGTGGTCTACAAGGCACAAATGTAGCTCACACAATCCCAGAGATATTTAGGAAAAGAACAAAATGTTTCCATCTTGAGAGTTTTTTTGTTTTGTTTTTATATAACTAAACCAAGAATTCTGAGAGGTAATAAACTCACCAAATAAGCTTGTTTCTAATCCTTTCATTCCATGTCATTGTGTCAGTTGTGTTGTTAAGAAGTAAGATATGTAACCTCTAAATTATCCATGGTTCTGATTCTGAGTTATGCTTATTTTTATAATATCTGCTCTGATCAAAATATAAGTATTTATTTTATTGTAAAAAGCACAATTAAAAGGACAATGGAGACCAAAAACCTTAGAGATGGAGAAATCAGTTCAGATAAGAATTTTAGTAGAGTTTAAATGACAAACCAACCCCAACCCCAACCAGACTTTAATCCTGCCTGTTAGTAGGTCAGAAACTATCAATTGAGGGAAAAAATTCTTATGAACATTATCTGGAACAGCTTATCCAAAAAAGCAAACACAGTTTCATAAAATATCCATATTTAACTTTGGAAAATAGTGTATTGGGAAAGTACTGGATATACCCTTCCATTTCTTATTAGTTGGAGTTGATATTATTTACAACAATGGAAGTACTACTTGGAAAATGTAATTGTAGAATATAAAATTTCCCATTAATGTCAGTATCCAGTACACAAATCAGTCACTGTAATCCTAAGTGGCCCACTCTATCGTATAGACTTGATACAAGGATATGAACAAGAAAGACTTCAGTGATACAGTGAAGATATCTTTTTTTAACTTGCCTACAGATGGGAGTAAAAGATTGGCACACCAAGTTGTAGCCTAGAGGATGAAACTGTATAAGGAGGACAGGAAGGGTGTTACATATTGAGTAAACAGTATTTTACTAGGAGAAAAAAAAAGAAAGCTTGGGCAAAAATGTTTGATTCAGGTACTGGGAAATGTTTTTAAAATAATAATCAATTGGGAAAGGCAAGTACATTTGTGTGGCAAATAAAGGTTATTCAGGGACACCTGGGTGGCTCAGTCGGTTGAGCAGCTGCCTTTGGCCTGGGTCATGATCCCAGGGTCCTGGGATCGAGTCCCACATCGGGCTCCTTGCTCAGCGGGGAGCCTGCTTCTCCCTCTCTCTCCCTCTGCTTGTGTTCTCTCTGTCAAAAAAAAAAAAAAAATTAAAAAAAAAGGTTATTCAAAGGCCATGCACTAGGATCCACCAAATGTTACATTTGTGAAAAGGTGAAATCAACTAGATAGTCTTAGGACATGACAGAAGAATCATAAGGTCAAGGATGGGAATCACTGAGAAATGGAACACAGAACTGAGAAGCAAGGCTGAAAGAAACAGAGAAACATCTTCCTGAGTGATGGAAAAGGGGAGCTGTACTGTTCTCTCCACTGTTGTCCTCTCTGTAGATGGGCTGGGATATCCATGTCAGCATGAGCTGTTGGCTTTGGTTCCCATTGGCTTGAGTTACTCTTGGTGACACCTGCTCTCCCTTTAACTTGTATTCCAAGAGAAGATGCTCAGCTGGTTGGGCTTGATTAGGCTAAATTTTAGTTAATAGGAAAAGATTTGGGGGAATTTTTGTGTAAGATATTTTTGGGA